GGGCTATCGCCGCTCTTATCTTTTTCTTATTGTTTTTCGCTTTTTGGCGTTGTCGTTGCTTTTTTCTTCTTCTTTTACGCACGGCAACGCTCAATTTCGAAGAACACGGGCCTTACGCGCAAGCTCTTACCATAATTCAGCGGCGGCGATCTTTGGCAGCTTGTGAGCAGGCCGCTGAAAGTTCGCTAGGGGCCCTTCTCGTGGGAATTCGAGCGTCAACGTCACGGGCCGATCGAGGCGGAATTTTTTTTTTTTTTTTTTTTTTTTTTATCTTTTTTGTTGTTCATGCAATTTTCACGGCACCTTCCACTGTCTGCTCGAAACGTGAAAGTCCGGGACTTGGCCTCTCCCGCGTAGACTACGTTCGCGTAGCTACCGAACGGCATTTTGACCCAGGCCCAACTCGATTCGTCTTTCTCGCTCGCTTCTCGCTTGACACTCGCGCGCCTCTCCCCATAATTCATAACTTAACTGCCGCGTCTTTTCCCCTCCTCCTTCTCCACCTCCTTCTCCACCTCCACCTCCACCTCCTCCTCCACCTCCTCCTCCACCTCTCCTCCTCCTCCTCCTCCTCCTCCTCTTTTCCCTTCCTCAACTTCATCCTCAACTTCATCCTCATCCGTCTCCTTCGTCTTTCTCCGCATTCTTCTCGTCTCTCGCTCTTTTTCACACTCTCGATGTTGCTTTGGGCCGCGAGTCCATAATGGGCTACTCTCCCGTTTTTGCGAGTATAACGAATATCCATCCAGTTTCAACGAGGCAACTTCGGGATTTTTTTTCGGGTTTTTTTTTTGCGCACCGACGTCTATTAGATGGCCTGGATGAGGCACCCATTGACTGTCACGCAAACATTATAAGCGCGATAATTGCGAGTGAGTCGGATGTCAGTGAGGAGAGGACTCTAACGAGGGATAGACGTTCTTGCTTTCGTATCGAAGCATTTCGAAATACCGATTTTAATGGACGCAAGTTCGAACGTGGCGCACGGCTTCGCGCGCTTCTCCCTTTCACGACGTTTTTTCTCCAAATGTCAGTTACTGGCTCGATTCAAATACACCTTACGTGCCTCTGTTTTATAATTGCTAATTGGAACGTAATTACAGTTACCAGTAATATTCCGATATAATGCTGTCATAAATTGAAGTAGAAAGTGCTCGGATCCGATCAGACAGCGGGTCAAATGCAACACGACGATACTAATGCGCAACATTGGCACAATCTAAGCTCATTTTTATATCTTATAAATAACTAAAATAGCTTCGAGCTAATAGTTATAGTGAAGCCAAAACATCTAAAATAATATAAATATAATTGGTGTAGTGCACGACTTTATAGATGATTCAAACAATTATTGCTATAAGGTAATTGATTGTTTTTTTTTTCTTAAAAATATATATATATATATTTAAATTAATATTGTCCGTATTTGAGATATCAATGGTTGTACTTATTACAAGTTCACTTCTAACGAATGTTCCCCTTTATTATTTCGTACTATTCGCACCAGTATTACATTATACGTATTACTCTCTCTCTCTCTCTCTCTCTCTATGCCTCTCTATTTCTATCTCTATCTCGGCATGTTCTCTTGGCCACCTTTTGGAGTTCCTTTTTTGTTCCCATATTGCCACTGTACCCGCGTCTTTATTACCGGGCTTCTGGTGGCAATTAACGATCCTTACCTAAATAAAAGAAACATTTGTGCAGTGCGACCAGTAATGTGCAGGCTCCGACACACGCATACTCATCGTTTCCCACTC